GCCTTACCAATAACATAGTTGATTAACACATTTTGTATATGTATTATATGCTGTCTTCTTACAATAAATAGGAAAAGGAAATGTTAAGAAAATCATAAGGAAGAGAATACACTTACAGCACTGTATTTATGGGGAAAAAAATCTGTATAAGTGGGCCTGTGCAGTTCAAGCCTGTTGTTCAGGGTCAGCTGCACTTGAGTATGGCATGCAGAGCCCTTCAGTTGCATGATTCTGTGAATATTTACTCAGGGCTTCAACACCTCCCAGCCTGCCTACAACTCTCTTGCCCTGGAATCCTACTGGGTTTGTGGGTTAGCAAAATTCTCCTCCTTCAAGCCTTGGTTCAGGTTACCCTTCCTTATCTAAACTTCACTTTTTGTCTTTCTCAGAAGTAAGCATTTTTTCACCTTTCCATGGGGCCTTGTAATGTACCACTTATTTTATAGTAATTTCTCTCTCCCACACTAATTTGTAGGGCAAGGGCCTGCATTTATTCCCATGTCCCCAGTGCTCCGTATATAGTCTAGCCATTAATGTGGACAGGGCAATCCCAGGATCTGGTTTTTCAGAGGGATGTGAGTGTTAACAGTGCCCAGCATTTATGTAGGACTGTGCGGTCAGCCCTTATAGCAGTTCTGTCTGTGATTAGTGGGCCAGTGTAATTCCTAAAGATAGATGGGAGTTTCATTGTTCTCATCGTAGGCTGACTCTGCTTGGCACCCACTCCCATGGTAGTGATTAGTTATACTGAGGGTGAAGTGGAGATATGAGAGTAGATATGAAAAGTTGTGTAAACTGCAAAAACACGCAGATATGAGTGTCTGTTCATTGCTACTGATCCTGCTTTGTGAGGATCAAGCACTTGCTTAAACAACATTCAGGGTATGTAGTGTAACTGTCCTTACCCAGTGAGAACCTTCAGGCCTATGAAGAACAAAAACATGCCAACAGCTTAATGCTATTGTTTTCTGTATTTATCCCAGTAAGCTATTTTTTCCTAGTTGAAATGGCCTAAAGTTAAACTATTTACAGAGATGTCATGAACAAGAATCTGTGATGGCGTTTAACTTGGAAATCGTCTGATAGGCTGATCTCACCTTATTTATGTGAAGCATTGGTTCAGTTCTTGGTTTTAAAGGTTAAAGGGATACAGTTTTTGATATTTATTACATTACATACATTTAGCTTTTAACTATCTCCATCTGTTCCACTGAACTCACATTGGCTTTCTTGTTCATTTTTAAGGGGAGTCTGCAGCATTAAGAAGCCTACTGTTCAGGGGTGCCTGGGTGGTTCAGTCGGTTAAGTGTAAGTGTCCGACTTCGACTCAGGTCATGATCTCGCAGTTTGTGAGTTCAAGCCCCACATCGGGCTCTGTGCTGACACCTCAGAGCCTGGAGCCTGCTTCAGATTCTGTGTCTCCTTCTCTCTCTGCCCCTCCCCCACTTGTGCTCTGTCTCTATCAAAAATAAATGTAAAAAAGAAGCCTACTGTTCAGTCCACACCTTAGACAGTTGATGGTCAGCCTCAATCAGGGGGACAAGGCAAAGCTCATGAGGGTCTACATGCAGGAGCCCTTGTTTGTGGAGTTTGCTGACTGCTGTTTATGGATTGTGGAACCATCCCAGGATAAGGATTCTTAAGATACTTGCTCAATCATGTGCATAGCACTCAGAACCTGCCCACTCCTCCTCCCAGGAGAACAGCTAGTGTGGGGCCCTGAGCAGGAGTGTGACTTCCAGGGTATAGGCCAACTGACCTAGGGTAGGCTGCACAAGTCTTTATCTCAAGTCCCATGGGTGTGGATTTCAGATAAGATGTGGATACTCAACATGGCAAACCCTTTATGGAGAGAGAACTTGACATTTAGGTGGTTGTCTTTAAATGTTTTAATTTGGGTACAGGTTAGACATCACATACGATACTGTTTGTCAAGTTTTATACCCATTTGAGTTAAAACTTGCTCACTGTTGCTAAATAAAATCAAGATATGGTTATTCTCTGGTAAATTGCATTGTTCATCCTTAGGTCATAAATGCTTGAAATTACATTAAATAAACCAACATACTAAATAAGGTTTTGTTCTTTTTAAAGGAACTAAATGCAAATAACCCAGTCGAAATTTTGGGGTTAACTTCAAGCTGACATGGCCTGTTCTGTTTGCAGGGAATCGCAAGTGCCCCGGTGCAGTGATGAACCACACCAGTGAGTCGGATCTATGAAGGTAGTAAAATGTGGGAAGTTCTCTGTGGCCCTGAGGTTTCTTAGTCCTGGTTTGGTAACCAACCCATGACACCTGTCAGGGCTTGAGATGTAGATGGGAGCCCCATGCCACTGGTGGCTGTGGCAGCTCTAGGTTGCGGGCGGGAGCTGTCACTTGTTCACGTGTACTTAATGTTGCTGTGGGAGTAGTTTGGCAGCTTAGTGTTGATCGAATGTCTTTGGCAAGGCAGCTGGCAGGAAAAGGCCTTTTGGACACAAAGGCACTGAAGGATTGCTCAGCCTAGTGAGGCTAGGATGTCAGAATAACTCACATGTGGCCCAGGCTGTGT